GTCTCAAAGTCACTAGCTGCTCTATCTTCTGCTTCACCTTCTGAAATCTTTTGTGTTTGTTTTATATATAATGTTCAGGGTTTGTACTTAGTCATGCTTAACAGGAGGAGTAGGGGAAAGGATATCTGTTTCATCTTCCCTAAAGCAAATGTAAACATCAGTTTTATGATATAACATTGTCTTGTGTACTATACATTATTTGCTTATAGGAGTCCTTGGAACATGAATTCCCTCTTACCTAGGTCATGTTAAGCCATTTTCCTTTTAAACTTTATGATCATAAACCACTACACATGACAAAGCAAGGACAGCCTGGATCCTTCATCCTCCAATTTACATCTGGAAGGTGGTCTCTGAACACCAGCTTCATCTAATTATAATGTATTTTGTGAGTGATACTATCAAACATCTAAGTAAAACAAACAGAACTTTATAACATTTCTATATTTCTTACCATGGTGTATGTATACTGCTAAGTCAGTGGTTCTCAACTGGGTGAAAGAGGGTAGGGTGATTTTGACCTCCGTGAGGGCTCATTTGACAACATCTAGAGACACTTTTTATAGTGATGGCTTGAAAGTGATACTGGCATCTAGTGGGTAGAGGCCAGAGATGCCTTAAAACATCTTCCAATTCACAGGACAGCCATCGATAATGAAGAATTAACTGGCCCAAAATGTCAAGGCTGAGAAACTCTGGTTTAGATGTCTGACCTGCATTTGATGGCATTGTATGCACCTCCTGGCCGACGTAATTGTGGAACTCTGAAAGCTAGATCTGGAAATGGCCTTGTCCAACCTCTAAACAGAGATAACCTAGCCTGCCAAGGCCATCTTATCCTTTGGCTTTCCCTCTAGGGATCACTATGTGACTCCAAGTTAGGATTTCTAAAATGAAGAATGATGTTCATTGCTTCTCCTGGAGAGAACATCATTTATATAAACTCCAAATGTTTAAATTAAGTGTCCTTGTTCTAATCTTAAGAAATTGTAAGCTGGGCTCAGTGGCTCAGCCTGTAATCCCACGCCTTGGGAGGCTGAGGTGAGTGGATTGCCTGAGGCCACGGGTTCGAGACCCGCCTGGGCAACTTGGCAAGACCTCAGCTCTACAATAAATCAAAAATTAGCCGGGCGTGGTAGCGCATGCCTGTAGTTCCAGCTACTTGGAAGGCTGAGGCAGAAGGATCGCCAGAGCCCAACACGTCAAGGCTGCGGTGGCCGGGAGTGGCCACTGCACTCTGGTCTGGGCAACGGAATAAGGCTTCAACTCAAAAAAAAAAAAAATTGTAAAATCATAATACTACTTTTACATTAGCATTCTTCTTGCTATCTCTCACTTACCCACCCACTGCCATTTCAGCAAAGTCCCTGTTTGTTCCTGACTCACCCTAATAAAATTCTGAAACCACTTTTATTCAAAATAATGCAAGCTTGGTTTTCTGGAATTGTTGGGGGTTGAGAAATCAAAATTTAAAAAGCAAAAATGAAATCCAGGCTGTACAAAAAAAAAAAATTAAGATAATGGAAGGCTGGGATGGGACTGAGACACCTGATACCGTCCAAATCTTGTATCACAGGGCTAGAGCCCCGGGCTCCTGATTCTAATGTTCCATAATCCATGCTGCTCTTCTACATAAAACAAGCCAGGCAACTAAAGCACCATACAAAGGAGACACAAGAAATATTAAAAATTCTGGTAGAAGAACGGAACATCCTCTTCTGATGTTCACTATTCATTTGTTCTATTTTGTTTTGAGTCAGGGTCTCATTCTGTGACTGGAATGCAGTGGCACAGTCATGGCTCACTGCAGCCTCAAATTCCTGAATTCAAGTAAATCTCCCTCCTCAGCACCCCAAATAACTGGGACTAACGGTGCATGCCACCACACTGGCTAATTTTTTTTTTTTTTTTTTTTTTGTAGAGATGAGGTCTTGCTATGTTGCCTAGGCTGATCTCAAACTCCTGGGCTCAAGCAGTCCTCCCGCCTTAGCCTCCCAAAATGCTAGGATTACAGGTGTGAACCACTGCACCTGGTCCCATTATTCATTTGATACTCTCCCTTCACTTATGCCTAATTCCATTTGAGCCCTTCATAATGTACTCTCTTATGGGCCCTGGCTCCGAAGTTAACTTTCCCCAAATGTACACGACCTCTGAGCTCATTTCTTTGTTTTGTTTTGTTTTTTTGAGTTGGAGTCTCACTCTGTCGCCCAGACTGGAGTGCAGTGGCCGCTCCCGGCCACCGCAGCCTCCACCTGCTGGGCTCCAGCGATCCTTCCACCTCAGCCTTCCAAGTAGCCGGAATTACAGGCATATACTACCACGCCCGGCTGATTTTTTGATTTATTGTAGAGATGAGGTCTTGCTGCCCAAGCAGGTCTCGAACCCGCGGGCTCAGGCAATCCACTCACCTCAGCCTCCCAAAGGCGCGGGATTACAGGCTGAGCCACCGAGCCCGGCTTGAGCTCATTTCTAATAGCAGCCTCTCTTCACGTCAAGTACCCTGACTATGTCATAGTCCTGATATTCTCAGAAGAAAGGGCACTAAGGACTTTCTTCTCTTTGCTAAGGCTCTTCAACGGACATCCCTGCTTTCTTTTTCCATTTGGTTTACAGAAAATCTAATTTGAAATACTAATTTTGAAATGGCCCAAGTCATTGCCCTGCTCTTGTTCAGTAACTGTGGGGAGGTACAGGTCTTACTTCAAACATCTCTCATACTCTGCCCACAAACATTAAGTCAAAGGCAACTCTGGGGACTCTTGATCATACATGTTTTTGTTTCCCTTTATGATCACATATATTTTGTTTCCCTTTATGATCACATGTATGAATGAAACTGTTTTAAAGACATAAGGAAGCAGCAGTACTCCGGGTACTAATAAGAGATTGGGAGCTGCAACCAAGAACAGTAATTGAATCCTCTTCCCTTTTACTGTCATCCTCATTGCCATTCTCAAAAAGGACTTTGCCTAATTTTTTTTCCTTATTTATTTCTTGTTTGGGTGTGGGGCTCAAGTTTCCTTGTTACTATTTTTGCTGTCAACATTCCTGCCAGAGTAAAGTCTATATAATGGACAAAATATCTTAAACTTAAATATGACCCTGTCTAGCTTTGGTTCCTGCCAGGGACATAGCATAGCAATAAACGGACCATCAAGGGCATGATTCCAGTCCCGGCTCTGGAAGAGGACTGCCTGTGGTGGAATCCCAGCTCTGCCTTTGCAGAACACTGGGCCAGTCCTTTCACCTCACTGCAGCTAGAAGGCCTCCACCTAAAGCAGGACTTCATTGATACCTATCAGCCTAACGGGGTTGTTGTTAGGATGACTGCACAGAAAGTGTGTCCCACAGTGCTTGGTACACAAGAAGCGTTTGTAAGTCTCTGTAATCGGGAAGACTTGGAAAACCATGTTTTAACAATGTTCCAGGAGAATGGTTTTCACTGAAAATATGATCTAATTCTCACAAAGTCATCTTTGTGGTAATGCACTGGTCTTCTTTGAGATATAAATTCACTTTTACTGCAATCCACTACTAGTCATGCATAACTGTAACAGAAAAAGACTGTTTTTCATGTAAAATTCCTGGCCCTTCAATACTAAATCACAAAGCCTTTGAAAGTGATGTTATTACTCAAGTCTTCCGTTAATGTTCTTTGAGACGATGTTTGGAATCACCCCTCCTTTTCTTTCACGTTGAAAAGAGTATACACTCCTGCGACAGAAAATTCAAAAATCCAGCCAGGCCTGGGAGTTGTCGCTTGTGATGCCAGCACTTGGGGAAGCCAAGGCGAGAGGACTGCTTGAGCCCAGGAGATGGAGACCAGCCGGGGCAACACAGGAGACCCCCATCTCAAACAAACAAACAAACAAACAAACAAATAAATAATCCGGGCGTGGTGGCGCGCGCCTGCGGTCCCAGCTACTCCGGAGGCTTAGGTGGCGGAATCGGCCCAGCCCGGGAGTCTGAGACTGTGGCGGGCCGTGCCTGTGCTCCCGCACTGCGTCCTGGGCCACAGAGAGAGACCCCAGGTCTCCGGCAGAAAGGGAGGGAGGGGATCCGAGTTGGAAATTCAGACAAAACGCGAAGAAGTCGAAGATGCCCGCCGGGATGCGGCCCTCACGCGGCACAGCACAGCCCCCGAAAGACACGTGGTACCCCCGTCCTCGGGCGGCGCGGGCCCAGGAGAAGCGCCGCTCGGCCCGGTGCACCTACTTCCGTCTCGATGTCGTAGTTCTGGCCCAGGACGCTCTGGATGAGCTCTCGGATGGTCTGGTCGGAGGCCAGCTGGGCCTCGGACTGCAGCGAGGCGACGATCTCCTCGATGGACGCGGGCGCGGC